GTTGAACTTCAGTTGCTTAAKTTAAAGACTTACAAAATGCATATGTTGATAAAAGAAATAATTGGTAAGTGACTAGAATGAAAAACTGAATTGATGCAAGAACAATCAGTAGTCAAGAATCAGTGAGAAAAGAGGGTCAGGAAGTTAGAACACAATGCTGTCTTACATCTAAKACTGAAATCCAGTCGCCCAAGTCTAACTGCATGGGTTGCTTGGTTTTCTTTGCTGACTGCTGAGGAGGTTGTTCAGGTTTGTCTTGATCTTTATTTTTCTTTTTCTTTTTCTTCTTCTTTTTCTTTTTTGATTGGGTATCTCCTCCTTCGCCCCCATCAGCTAACATGGATTTCTCACTCTCTGTTGTTGAAGGTTTGTTTTGTTTTCTTGCCTAGTTTGAAAATAAAGTTTTAAATACAAGATTACCTAAAACTTAAATGACTCTTGAAGATAATGTCCAATTGTTCTAACAGTCAAATATTCAAATATTTGAAAGATCTTAACATGTACTACATGTAATCACCCCAAGTACATTYATCATTCCTATCAAGTTTCACAGCATAACTATTTCTTTATGAGTTAATATCAACTCATTGACCAGGCATGATAATTCCAGAGTATTGAATTTTAAAAGCMTTTTAGGTTAATATGTTGCACACTTTTAGTGTTTGTACTCTATCAGAGAATTGAAATACAATTTTTAAGCTAGTGATTTGGGATGTTCATGTGCTAAATACCATGATGTTAAAGAAAACCCAAGTAACCTTATTAAACAACACAGTAGTTTCCAAGGTGCATTGCAACTTTGTAAATTGAGTTTTCTACAAGATAAACATCCAGCAATTCAACTAGTGAACAATTGGATGTTACAGTACAGTAAGGTTTATAACTGAGTTGTAATCCAACTAAAACCATATTCAAAATCAGTATGAAAAAAAGCAATACCTGAGGYTTAGGGATTGCCTTCAATGCTGCACTGTATGATATGATAGGCATCCTGTTTCCACCTGATAACCAGTCACTTGCAAGAGAGGATRTCTCAGTAGACTTTGAACCTGTACTTTCTAAGTCTGGAAATTCATTCTCATTGTGAAGAATATTAAATGCCTCACTCTTAGCAGAAACTTCCTCATCTTTACRTGATAATAATTTCATCTTCTTCGTTTTAGTGTTGAAATCTGCTGGTGAGATATACTTTCCATGCTTGTTTTTTTGAAGAATACCTTTCTGCTCAGATTGCGCATTAAAATCTTTGGTTGGATGATCAGATTCTTGTTCAGTTTCACTAACTTGCTGGACATCCTTTGAAGTGTTGTTTTTCAATGGGGTTTTCCTATGTACATGTACATCCTTATTTTCAATCATTTTGGGCCCTTCATCAACCCTTTCTTTAGAATTAGTTTTATTAGCATTTGTTTCATGTTTTTGACTAAAACTTTTTTGCTCAGTCTGCGAATTAGCTTTACCAGCTTTTGTCCATTTATTTTCTTGCTTACATTTTATTTCATGATCATTATTCATAATATCGCTTGATAGCTTCTTTCTGCTTCCCCTTGCCCACTTGCCACCTTTATCCTGAAGTTCTGTTTCATTTTGATCATCAATAGTTTCAAAGGTTTTTTGTTTTTTCTCATGATCAACTCTAGTCGCCTTGCTTGCACTATTATCATCTGTAGCAAGACRTCCATCAGTTTGTTGATGAACTTTTTTTATTCCTTGTCTTTGCTCATTTTTAGCACCACATAATTGTTGTGTATCTCCTTGAAAATCATTCTTTTTTTTACTGCTAATGCCTTTTAGTGTATCGCTATAAGAAACAGCAMCACGTCCTAGTCCAAGACCAGGATTACTGCCTTGCTCACAGTTAGACTGTCTTAAGACTTTAAAATCCTTTTCTTTGCTGCCATAATCATTTGTCCATGCATTTCTTGGCTTTCCCCGGCCTCTTCCAAAACCTTTGAACTCTCCTATTGATTGATTATGAGAGCCATCACGTCTACCTGAATTAGATCGTAATGAAGATTGAAAGCTTATTGTTCTTTTTGTCTTATCAATATGCAGTTGATTCCTTGTGCTGTTTTGAAGTGTGTTTTCATTCCTAGATTGTGACTGAGAATTATCTAAACTTTCTTCATGTCTTCTATATCTCCAGTTTCTGTCTGGATTATTCAAATTATATTTTTGCGTGTCTGAGAATTCATTCTCTCCAAAGTCTCGCTGTCTCCAAGACAAAATGGCTTGTTTTTCATTTTTAACACCAAGAGTTGACACCTGTTTTGAGATACCATGGGTTTTGACATCATYTGCTTGCTTTTCTATGTCCGTYTCCTGTAAATTTCTTAATGGTTTTTCACAAATAGCAGAGTTCTGTGAACACCCAATTTCACTCTGATTGAATTTCTTTGTTTGTGCTGAGGGGACAAACTCTGGAACATATGGTGAAAGGACAGACTTGCATRCCTGAAGAAAAAATAAATAAAGCAATGGTAGTTAAAAACCAGGCTATTCTTGGGTTTCATGTAACGTCACAAAAATATATGTTGTAGTTCAGGTTCAATATGATTTTGAACCAGTTCAATTTCTTCTGAACTGGTTCAGTTTATTTTGA